CACCCGGCCGGCAGCATGCCGCCCCCCGCCCGCTTCAGCGGCTCCCAGTTCATGGCCCCCCCGGTCGCCAGCCCGGGAGGGCAGCTGAGCGCCAGCATGCAGCTCCAGAAGCTGAACAACCAGTATTTCAGCCACCACCCGTACCCCCACAGCCACTACATGCCGGACTTGCACCCCGGCAGCCACCAGCTGAACGGCAGCAGCCAGCAGCATTTCAGGGACTGCAACCCCAATGGCTTGCCGCCCGCCGTCCCCCACGTCCCCGCAGCAATGCTGCCGCCCAATGTCATAGACACTGACTTCATCGACGAGGAGGTCCTCATGTCCTTAGTCATCGAAATGGGGCTGGATCGCATCAAGGAGCTTCCCGAGCTGTGGTTGGGACAGAACGAGTTTGACTTCATGACAGACTTCGTTTGCAAACAGCAGCCCAGCAGGGTGAGCTGCTGATTCATTTAAAACAAACAAAGGACTTTCTATCGGTGCGAATGAAAACATTCCCCTAGACACGGTGTCTCACTTTTCAGGGCTTGAAAAGGTGAGAATCTGGAAAGCAGAGTCAACTATGCGCTTGTATAAATTTTTTTTTTCCCCTCTTGAGTCGTTTTTTTTTTTATTTCCGGTAGCTTTGACATTCACGTCCCCTCCCGTAGTAATGATTTCTAGCAAACTCTGCCTTTTTATGTTGGTCGTCCCCCTCCCCTCCTCTCTCTCTTAATTTCCTCGCAGTAACGTGCCCATAATTCCCACAGTGCTGAACTGTTAGATATTAATCTTGGCAAACTGCTTCATCTTGTGGATTTTGTAAACGATGATTTCCAGTGACTTGAACTGCATTCAAATTCTGAGTGAGCAGGGAGAAACATTGCATTAGTTGGTTGCATGAACTTTGAAGGGCAGATACAACTGCACAAATGCTGCCATCTTGCTTAATTTTTAACTATGCATTGCAGTGCAGACTAATTTTTATTTTTTTTTTTTTTTTTAAATATGCTAAACTGGAAGCTTAACAGATGTGGGCCAAACCTTTCCAGATCAGGAAAAGTAATACTGTTACTTAAAAAGTCTGCTACCCATTTCCCCTCCCCCATATGTACAGACAATAATATGGTGTGGATGGAATGTTGACTAGTGGCAAACATTTCACAGATTTTTTTTTTTTTTTTTTTAAATTTTGTTTCTTCAGCATTTTGACACTGTGCTAATATAGTTTATTCAGTACATGAAAAGATACTACTGTGTTGAAAGCTTTTCAGGAAATTTTGACAGTATTTTTGTACAAAACATTTTTTTGAGAAAATATTGTTAATTTATTCTATTTTAATTTGCCAATGTCAATAAAAAGTTAAATGCTTTAGTTTTTCTAGAAGTCATTTACCAGTATTTTTCTTCAAAACTCCTCCCCACAGTCCCTGGTAAGTAGAACTGTGCAACCGTATTGGTGTGCAAAAAGACATTCCAAAATAGAAAGTACACTACACCCATATATTATGTCATGGTGAACTCGGTAGGTGAGCGGGATTTGAACATACTTACAGCATAAAGCCTCATACGTAACATTGTAATATGCCTGTCAGTGTGGTTTTATGAAAAATAAAAGTTGCCGAGGCGCAACTTTCTTGTGACTTGCCAACATACTTGCTTTAAATGTAGTTGTCCAGAGTTATGATGCATAAAGTATTTATTATATTTATCTATTAAACTTGTAATTTTATAAATCCGCTTTCATTTATATAGTAGACTTTGTTCTTTTTTATATTCCTTATCTCACCTGGAAGGGTTGTGTCAAAAGGCCAAGTGCTTAACGTGCAAGTATTTGTAATTTGGGAAGGGAGGGTGGTGGGTGTCACCCCTGTCCCTCTCACCTCGTTGCTGCATCAATCTGCATCTGTGTTGCACGCGAACAGACTGTTTCATTTCTAGGGGCTTAGGAGAAGGGGCATATATTCTTAAAATATTCCACTGTGGGACAACTCTGACCCCCTCTCCCAGAAACTGTTGCGAGCTAAAGCCACCGAGACAAATCCATACAGGTCTACTTTAAATATTTGGGAGAAAAATGACAATTATTATAAAGCAATTGACATCTTACTCCTTTAGTGCCAACTGTTGCAGCCTCCTGCCCCCACTCAGCCTTTGGCAAAGCTCCCACATGACTTGTTACTTCCGTGAGGACTGTGGGATCAGGACCCTAATAACACATGTAATCCCATTTAGCCACGCTTCCCAAGTTTGATACAGGAGCGATACCATCCTGACTTTTTCAGCTGTGTCTTCTGAATTTATTTGAAAAAAAAAAAAAAAACCAAAAAAAAAAAAACAGCATGGTGGATGTAGTTGTGTTTGAAACCTGGGCACATAAACGGGGGAGGATACCACCACACTATGGGAGTGTAAATAGCAGTGTTTTGAATCAAGCTGGGAAATTAAACTGATTACTATTGTCAAAATTGCCCCAGCTAGTGAGAAAAGTGATAGTTTGCCTTCTTTGCCTTACAGACATGAGGCAGCTAATATGTTTTATGAATGTAAAAAAAAATAACGCTTGTATTAAAAGTATTTGTAAAAGTAGAAGGAAGTGTGCACTTCAGGGAAAACCTGACGGCAAAATGCTCTCTGCAGGCAGTAATGGCTTGTTCTTAGACAACTATCAGCACTCAAGAATTTAAAAAAAGAAACCTTCTGTTTTCAGCCAGTGATTGTTAATGTTTTGTGACAGTAAATTTAACATCAAATGGCAGTGAATCATGACTTGCCAACTCACCAATAACGTAAAAGAGTGTTCAGAAGAACAGATCTGTAGTTCTAAGAGCCATTGCCCAATTTGCCACTATATAAATCCGTTTTCCATTTTAAGGCTGCTTGATCTGCACACTTTGCATTGCCCTCTTCTGCTGGAGTTTAGGAGGGTGATTTTTCTGATTCTAATAAAATTCTTATAAAACATACTATCAAATTGTGTGCATACCAAATCGCATAGGTGTTTAAAGCCTCCACTATCTCCTAAAACAAAAGGGAATACTCTTCCTTTAATGATAAACACTTTTGCTTCATAAAGTTGGTTAAACAACAAATTCTTCACAGTTGAGACATCACTACTTAAGTCTATCAACATTAAATCCTTCCATATAAGCTCCTCCAAGAATAGGTCGTTTCACTGGCATGCTGGTGGAGTCTATTTGCATAAGACTACTTGTAAAACTCCTGAGAGATGCTCCCTCAAAACAACAGTAGCTACTGAAAGCTACTGAAAGAACTGGCTTAGGGCAAGGCATCATCAAGGAGTTTACAATTTCTTAAAAGTAGACCCAGGGGAAATTTGCAAAACAATCATATTGCCTACTTTGTCCCTTAATTTCTAATGAAGAGTCAGATCCCAGCAGATACACACCTACCTATTTTCTTATTCACAATATCCTACACCAAGCAATATTGGAGGCCTGACCCTCATCTTCCCCACTCTCGAACTCCTTTGCAACCCCTTGGCTTCCCACAGCCGAAGCAGCTAACAGGGCTTCAAGTAGATCTTCTGTAGCTTCCACACTGTTTAGAAATAGGCTGAAGTAATTTATTATTTGAACCCAGCGATTAGTGAAACATGCAGAGTGACCCAGTTTTCCAGCTACCGCCGGATCCTCACGAAGGACGGTGTAGTCTTGCATCCCATCAAGTTGATTTCAGTACAGGAAACTTGACCTCTGTACTTTGGCTGTTTGTCAAGAACTTCCAACATGGTACATGAGATCTGCTCCTCTTTAAGCCTCGGCCATAAATAGACGCGCTGCTTTATTTGGAAGGGAGATCAGCCCTAAGCCGGCCCGCCCGCCACGCAAACACACGCTCGGCAGAAAATTAGGTGCCGATTAACGCGATCCTCTGCCGTTTTCTGCGGGAATAAAGAATTCACGGCTTAGGTGCTGGGGCGAGCGGCTGCAGGAAGGGGCAGCAGCCTCCCCG